TGTTCTTCTTAGAAGCGGGCGTTGGCGTGTTTGGTGGTATCGCGGAAGGTGGGGGGGGGGCGAGATGAATTGAAGAATATAAAATAACCGCTCGCTCGACTTTGTTGGACTCGGACGTGGTCGACATGGTGGTCATGGTCTTGGATTAAGTTGTAAAAATAGGGACTCAATTTATAACCGTCAGCTCGAGCCCGGCGCGGTACGATTCTTGCCGTAGAAAAGTTTTGTAATTCTTATCTAATGGCCTCCAAATTTTATTAGAATACTTACTCTCAAGAATTTGCAGATTTGTTGTATCAAATTTGGAGGTCTTTAAGGAAGGGCGAGGGAGTTTCCGGGTACTAGTTCGAAATGGCAGAGAAATCTGGAACGGCACCGGGCATGTCGCCCAAGCCTCGTAAGAGCCAAAGAGCTTACAGCGCGGTTACGCCTGCGAAGGGGGCTTGGTTCTTCCCTAATGTCCTCCATCTCTCGCAGAGGGAGAACTGTCAGGTTGTCGACTCCTCCCCAATTTATCTTACTTAAGATCCTTAGACTGAGCACGTCCTTACACATGTAGACAAGCCGATCTGGTGCTTGCCTGCTACACTAAAAAGTAGATTTATGAACTGTTACCAGTTCATAACCCGGATCATATATAAGGACCACAACGGGGTAATGTGTAGTCGTAAACGAGCACGTTTACACTCTCACCTCTTCCAAACCACAGCCACTGGGTATGTATGGCCGAAGAAGCTTAGTCTTACTACTGTTAAACAATTGAGAAGAGTACTACCAGGTCAGTGGTTCACAGAGAGGGAACCCAAAATATCGTACACTGTGACATCTATAAGAGTACTACTCTTATTTGACTTTCTATCTTCACAGGATTTGGGGGGTGTCTCCTCTTTTGTCATCTTTTCCGACTCACTATTCTAAACTCTGTCTGACAACGACGATGCTATTCGGGACAAACGAAGGCTCTAAACCTCAGCTGTACTTGCAAAGAGCAGTTCCAAGCTTGTCGAACGTCACGAGTAAAAGTCTGGACCCTCCGCCGTCTCATCCAACTCACGAAGAAGAATACGAAGGACTTGAAGAGGATTTGAGCTGTAGTTCCCGATTGCAAAGAACACAGCGAGTTAGACGTTCGCGCTCTCTCCTTCCTTCCTAATCACACTTCAACACATCGACGAAGATTGTCAAGAACCCTCTCCGGCAGTATCCATTCTGACCAAACTCCTCCGTCCTTAGTCGACCGTTGATCAACCGCTTGCTTGAGCTTGCAAGTCGATCAAACCCGCCCTTGTTCTTCTACTTTCCTCCCTTCCCCCTCCAGTCCTTCCGCTGAAAATATGCTCGAATCTCATCTCAAATTATTTCCCCAATTTCAGCACATAATTGCCATCTGCCATCGCTGTACTCCACCCCCGAATCGTTCTGGCTACCAACCTCACCGAGATACTTTTCGCTGATAGCGTCACCGTCAGCTCGGACTTGTCGGACCATAGACTCCCAGCCGTTGTTATCAACGGCATATCTTGCCCATCGTGCTCTGCACCACTGCATGGATGTGCGGTGTCGGATGACCCTTCTTCGTCATTGACGTGGAACCCGTCTGTGTAAACACAAGTTTTGTGTTGACGGATCCGTCCATCGTCCGTGCACAGGATTTTACAAAACCTTCGGGACGTACTCTCTGCAAAATTCGAGCATGTTGATAAGAACTTTGCAAGACCTAGTAGAAGCTGGTGTTGGTGTGCGTGAGGGCTGGGCTGCAGTAGACGCCCCAGACGAGGAGCACAAAAGGGTCGGATTTGATCAGGCCTTCACGGATGCCTACAGCAATGCCTAGACTGCGAGCGCTGCTGCTATGATCAACGGGGGAGATGGTTCCGTGCAACAGGATTTAGACCGCTTGCAGAAAAGTCCTACACCGACGCCTCCACTGTCCTACGGCTCGTTTACCGATTTTTACTCGACAATTCGGCCTGTTCCTTCCTTCAACTCGACTTCTTTCCATTTTAAATATTCTACGCAGACCACACCAGCCCCAATAGCGAAAGGAATTTCGAGTAGTTTCGTACTCTCAGAATGTCGTATCTCCACCTGGTGATACGCTAGGGGGTCATATCGTGAATAAACCTAGGACTGACTCGTACTCATATGGTTGTACTACTCAGAGAGGAATTACACAACTGGAGCATGTACGCTTTCATTTTGACGTTGTTCGCTCTCCCGATAGTTAATTTATTTCTAAATAAACACAGTACATATGCATAATTCGGCCTGGTCTGACAGCACGAAGTCTAAATACTTTACAAATGGAGAAATGTCAAAGCGTCGCATATCTCGACAAATCAATTCAGTAAACTTCTTTTACTTTTTACTTTACTTTACTTTGTAATAATGATCCTTAGCTATCCACGTCATTACGAATGAATTACTAGATACAGGCATGCATGAACAAAGAACATACAACAGACGAAAGGAGAGTTCAATGTTCCAGCATTCAACCCTTCCACCAGTTATCGAGGTCGTAACTAGCGTTAACACCCTGAAAAGCCGAATGAATCAGGACAACAGAGCAAACGGTCACCAAGTTGATTCTAATAACTCACCATCGTGATAAACCCAACCAATCCCTGATTAATCACACCCCCGAGAAGGTGCATCTTGAATATGGGGTTGTATTCACCTTCAGGACCGTGCGAGTCCTCAAAGATGTTAAGAGAATCCCTCCAGTTGCGAGTACGACCGCGGATATCCCGGATGGGGTTTTCAACGTAAGGCCACATCTAAACGAAAAACAAGGTCCGGTAAGCGAAACCCCAAGCGAAGGGAGAAAGACCGCCGTTTACCTTGTCGATTTGAAGATTTAGTTCATCTTCGAAGAAGAATTGACCGACATGAGCGAGTTTATGGCCGTCGAATGTGCCGTTGGGGTTTTCTGTCCAGCTTGTGAAGACTTTGGCGTGGACATGGGTCGCTCGGCCGGTGTAGTATCCAGGGAAGATTGCTTTGGGTGGAGTTTAGAAAATGATGCTTGAAATTCGACAAATCAAACTTACTCGTGAACCTCGCTATACCATGCGAGTCTGTCTTCCATGCTCCACGAAGCCATTGCTCATGATAATTAGTACGAGGGAAAGCGCTCAAAAGCCCAGCACGTTTCCCGCCAACCTGGGGTTGCTCGTCTTTCAAATGGGGTGCTGGATCGGGGTGGCCAGCATAGTGGCCCGTGGCGTTAGCCTGCCATATGTCTACTAGCACGTTTGGGAGGGGTTTGCAAGTATTCACGTCGATGACACCGATATCGAGATAGGTGAGGAGGCCAATTTGGTAATCGGCGATGTTTTGACGGATGGGATGGCCCATTTTGTGGTAGTACGGACCTTCAGTTACGATAGGGGCTGTTGAAGGAGAAGAGAAAAGGGTTACTACAGGTAGAAAAAGGAAGCAAACGAAAAATTTACTCAATACGCAAGTGTTATTCTGCATCTCCGTTTCGTCCTCGACGACATCACAGGCTAAAAGTTCTTGTTGCGCTCTTGAGCTTGGTTGTGCTTCAGATTCAAAAGTTCCGGAAGCGAAAAGCTCGTCGTTTGTGGGTAAAGAAGGGTTGCCGGCTGTAGGGGCAAATGCTGCCTGATTGAGCGGTAGTCCAGCCAAGACCTGCTGTCGCCAAGCACGCTTTCGAGCAGCAGTGAATTCTCCTACTGCGGGAGCACACTGTAGACATGGTCGGTCAGTAAGGATAAATAAACATATGAAAGCAACGCACATAGTAAGCTGCCCTCTGTAAAGCTCGTTGAGTTTCGATCTCAGCCTCTGTCTTGGGTTCCTTGTGGGCAGATACGCTGGCTAGCCCAGCCAGGCCAAAGAAAAGGACCAGAGAATGTGAACGGACCATGATGAGGATGGGAGGTATATTGGGAGCATTAGGACTGATATATATAGGTGTGGGCAGCCCCGCGCGGGACCTGGAGCGGAACTAAAGAAGGCACCCTGATTGGCCGTTACCGTTACGGAAAATCCCCATTCCTTCACGTCACCTGACCCTTGGCCGTTCGCGTCGTACGGGAGAAGTTCATTATCCTGATCCGACTCACCGACTCTAATATCCCTTTTTGGGTACAGAAAGGGTCCAGCCCTACCGAGCCACTGATGACAATTTATCTAGAGCAGAGCAAGCTCGTTGTCTTTCAGAGTTCCTTCGCTTCACTCATGCGGAAGAACGGTTCCCCGAGCAGTTGCTTCAAAGCAGTGGTTGCCACGAGAGGCTCATCTGCTCTAGAGTTATGTAGTGGTGATCATATCTTGGATGAGAACTGGTGGGAATGAGTGCGGACGTACCCCTGCATCAAATTTCCAGTTGAATGTGCGTTGGCGGCGGCCCAAGTCATTGGTAGAAGGGACGCCCAAAATAAACTTCGTCCACACACAAAGCGGTCGCGAGACTCAGTACTCAGGTCCGAGTCGACTTGGGACCGTTTTTATAATAGCAAGTTCAATAGATGAACGTCACTCGATGATAGTCAAGTGAGACTGTATAAATACGAAATACCTGTCTTCCACCTTCTGGCACCTCGTAGCTAAAGAGTACTAGTATGCCGCTTTGGGTCCAGGACGGTCGACATGGGGAATTCGAAACTTACCGGGCTGACTTTATCTCAACTCACTGCCAGCGTGATCTCTATCTCAGTCTCCGACTCTGCCCAACAATCTCTGGCCCAAGCCGCTCTAGCGCATTCTAGGAGTACCTCTGCTACGTCCTAAATGGAGAATTGGCATCCAAATATTGGGTGCAGGTTAATAAAATGGTGAGTCGGTAGCGCGATGCGCATACTCTAAAGTATTCACAGGACGTTGACGTCGGTTACTACACGCGCATTAGCTCGGCGCTCTAGGTGAAGCTCGTGGAAAGCTCGCCCTTTTACAGAGATACGACTAGAATCTCCTCCCCATCACCCCAGCACTTGTTTAGTACAATTAATGCCTTAATAAGAACCAAAAAAATGAGCTACCTGGCGCAATGGTAGCGCGTCTGGCTTTGATTGCTGAGTATGCCAAAGGGTTGTAGATTCGAGTCCTGCGGTGGTAGCTGCAGAAAGATGACTCTCCCGTGCTATCGAGAAAGCATTTTCATCCTTCCTCATTGATAGAATTGGGTTTCGCTCAATAGGTTCAGATAGACATATGTATAGACCACTGCTATAAACATAGAGCATGTTGCGTCAACGCTCTCGTATGCAACCGCTACTCGAGGAGAGTGCGGCTCCAGGTACAGTGCCACAGGCATGTTTATTTAAAAACAGTACGCACATAACAGAAAAGATCACAAATTCGACTAAGGCTACAGGATATGGTATGTCCATGGATGAGGAGACGTGTTTTCAACGCCAAAAAAAGCAAAAACAAACTATGTCGTGCACGACAAACGTAGTTTTGCGGGTAAAGCCAAAATATAGATGCTCTGCAATACTCGGTATTAAAAAAAGTTACCGAGTAAAAGCAAGGATCAAAACAACTACGATAGCCAGAAGAAATGCGAAGACAGACCAACATGCGTGATGTAAAAGAGAAGCAGAAGGAAGGCAGTAAGAGAATGTGCTTCCGCTGTTTTTTTAGCAAATCGCGAAAGGTCCTCCTAATGCCAACAGACGTCGTCTGACAGAATATCTGCAAGGCCCAGACGGCGACCAGAAGGCTTGGAAGGTACGTAGGAATCTGTTTCATCAGCAAAGAGCAAAGGCTCGTATCCCGCATCCAGAGCGAACGCGGATTGGGAAGGGGAAGATGCTTCGGATGGGGGAGCTTCGACACGTTGCGATGGGCTTTGAGACATGTAGTCTTCACCGGAAACGACGACATGGTGAGTCTTATCTGCCTTCCCTTTAACCTCCGTTTGGTCCTCACTCTTCTATCGGCAGAGTACGTCCCAAAACAGAGAAAGCCTCGTACTCCCGGAAACGGACTTCCTGGCGCCATGCCCGTTCAAACACTGGGAGAAATAATCATCGAAACGCCTGGCGAGTGAGAGAACCTGGGTCACCAGTAGCGAAATCGCAAGCCGGGCACTGAAGGTCCTTGACTTTCGTACTTGAAAGGTAAAAAGTTAATAACTCGATCAGTACATTCTAGTCATGCGGAAGGCAGTCAATTACAACTCACTGTTTGCGAATATGCGTGTCTACGTTGACCTTTTGTAGACTTTTGTAGCTGCAGTCTTCGTAGGGGCAAGAGTACGATCTACATCGAGATCCTACAGGGTAAGGAATATCTTCAAGTGGGGCCGTGCAAAAGCTGTGGCGTACATGGAAGCTTTCTCCTCCGCGCTCAAATGAGACTGCATGTGTCTCGGGACGTCGCCTTTACGAGCTACCTTTGTGCCGCACAGCTCGCAAACAGTCGGATCCCTCGAACTCTCGGTTTTCTAGTCGCCACCGTCGGTAAGCAAGATGTAGGAAGTCGATCATTGGAGAAGCGGACGCACCGGAGCTTGACTTTTAGGCATAATGGCAAAGGATAACTCGAAGATATGAATTTGAGTGAGGATGTGGTAGTAAAAGAGAAAGATGTAAACCGGCTAGTTGAAATGTTGTGCGCCTTTTGACAGGATAGTAGTATAGTGTGGGATTTCACCTATTGAGCGTTAAGAGATTACCGACGAGGTCTACTCTCAAGAATAAAAGCCACTCACTTGTAGAAAACCCGGTAATGGAAGAGTAGAACATCATTTAAGGCAGAAAGAGATTGTTTAATTAGGTTCGTCGGAGCCGTATTGATTGATGGAGGGGGACAAAGCATAGCCAGAGGGGTCTGAAAAAGGCATTTTCTTCGGAAATGACCTTGTTCCAGATGGAGGGGGTCATGCGAGCGATGATTTTTGTAATGATAACGCCGTCAAGGTGGAAACGCGATGGTCAACAGATGGACCGTTGATGAGGGCTGCTATAGTTCAACGTTGAGAGCCTCACAAAAGACCCAGTGACAACTCCCGTTCGCCAAAGTTTTTTTGCAGGTCGTGCTGAGAGTAACATTCAACGCCAAGAGCAGTAATTTGTGGGGTATACTTGACAATCCCCATTGTCTGAGTAGGAAAGCGTCAAACTGTTTTTAATTGATGCGAGCATGGGACTTGAATTGCCTACCTTCCTTCTACCGGCAAATTTCAGGAGGCAAAAAGCTCAATTTGCTCTTTGAAAGTTTGTCATTGAATTTGCTATTTCACCCCTAAAAAATCTACCAGCTAAGGAATCCACTTCTGAGCCTATGGACGACAGAGAAAGTGCATGTGAATGGTGTTTGGACTCGTTATCGACAGGAATTTCAGGTGAGTGGCATATAGCCTCATTAGCGATTTGAATCTTACGCCCTTTAGGTCTCAACAAGATGTTAATTCTCTGCGCACAAGGGGGACCAGCGGTGTGATCAAATGGACGACAGCCAGAGAAACCCCAGCAGAGTGCTCATTTTTTGTCCTCCGAAATGCCCCAGAAAGGCCGCGCTTCGAAGATACATCCACATAGCTTCATTGACGAGCAGAGGCTATCATCTTCCTCAGCGCCGACCTTTAATACTGCAGCGTAGCCATTACTATGCGAGCCCCAAGGCACGGGCGCTGCTGGGAAATCGATGTCTTTGAAGGTCTCAAGGCGTTTCGGCTACTTCGCGGAGGTCTGCTTCTGGGAAAAGACTTTCGTACCATTGTTAAGGCCATAACCCTCGTACGTGAAGCTCGCTCTGACTACGGAAGTCTCTCGGACAATGCGTATTCTGCTGTCTGGCCTCCTACTGGATAGTCGCTGTCAGTTTAAAGGCAGTTCCGCTATGGCTGGTGAGGTCCCTCAGTGCTCTGGGCCGTCATAATCGAACAGACGTCAGACCCCACTTCTATGATCCTCGTACTCGAGGAGGGGGCGGTCTTTCGGGCGCCGGGGCTTCGGGGATGATTCCCACGGCTTCTCTGGGCACCTTGCGTCGTCCAGACCGCGGTAGTCGAGCTACTGGCACAATATTGAGCTATGGGGACAATAGTCATGGGCGGGGAGAGAGTCCGGAGCCATTCCCCTATATACGGTCAGCAAAGACTCCCGGAGACTCGATCTCGGTATTGATAGTCTACCAATCCGACCTGCTACACAACAGTCGAGTGCCACTGGATATCGCTGACACAGCAGCCTTCAAGTCGAAATGAACGTTGAAGAACAACCATCCTACGTTCGCAGTCATGTGTTTCATCGAGCAAACTGGAAGATTCGACGTTGATCATCCGGTATTTCACTTCCATTCCTGGCGGCTATCAAGAGTCGAGGTGTATGGTACTAAAGCAAGAAAGTGCCTAGCCGTGATCTTCCACTCGTCCATAGGGTAGCCCCCACATCCCGGGGCTTTACACGAGTTGCAGAGTTGGTAAACAAAAAGCCCTTCCGAGCTTTGGTAGCGCAGCAGCGGTGTAGAGCTTAGGAGGGCTAGAGACTCGGAAACAGGTGGAGACCAATAGATGATAATGAACGGAGACTCTGCGCTGGAGCCGTCGTCTTCTGCTCGCCACAGAGCTTCTGACCCCAAATCTCAGAGGGAATCAACCTCTGGAACATGGAACAACGGCTTGAGTCCATCGTCCAGTGGGAGAATGACGTTACAGAGCTGGAGGGGATCAAAGACTCGCAAAACGGAAGGCAGTACAGGACGATACCGCCACACAACCACTCTACAGTGCGGTCGCAATCCAGTCTCTCCAAGCTCGAGAAGTTGATTGAGTCCCTCTTGATTTCGGGATACGACCAGGGCTTGAGGGAAGACCAGAAGGAACAGGAAATCATAACAGTGGCGCCGCAATCCTGTTCCGAGAAGGCAGAAAGGATTAGGAATATCTTTTCCCCGGAGTTTCAGTTGCTGTTCGCGGAGACGAACCGTATTTGAGCATTCCCCTAGCATCCAAAGGCAAACCATATATCCCACTCGCTGATCGACAAGATCGTTCTCTTCAGTGTAAGAGCTGATCGAGCTTCCGCCCTCCTCCCCGCTCCTGATTGGCTGCTACCAAGAACCAGAAGTCCCTACATGCTGTGAGGATCGTTTTCTCATCGTCGGAGGTAGTTTCGCCAACATCATTTGAATCTGCCAAGGCCGCCGTTTCTCCCTCGGACGCATTTTTTTCAGCCTACAAAAATACCCGAATTTGGTCAGTACGCCATGATCAGTCAGAAAGTAACCAACTTTCATACACCTTGAGCGAGGCATCTTTTCCATACACCATCCCAATATCATTCGGATACCCGAACACCTCCCCAAATTCCTCCGCAGGAACTCTAACCGAATCCGCATCCACTTTGTCCATGGCGTTTCGTTTCCTCTCCCGTACACTTGCCTCTCTGAACCGTTGCTTCCGTAAACTTCTTCCTCCCCCCGCCCAACTCCTTCCGCAAGATCTCCAATCGTTCCCGTTCAGCGTCGAAAGCTGGACACCCAAGCTTTGGCGACAGCATACGAGTACAACAGAAGCACGACAATCCGGGTGTCACCAATGCTCGAGCCTTCTCTCTCTCGACCACAGCTAGTACTTCGGACTTCAGGATGCGTAGGATTGGCTTGACAGGCGGGGCACTCGTATCACGAATGATTTCACGAACTGTGCTCGGAAGGTCAGTCAATAATCAAATTATTTAATCTTGCAAGATGTAGAACTAACGCTTTGACTCACTCGCAGGAATAAGGAAAGCAGAGGACGTGGTGACATGCTAATCCTTGATGAACGCCGCTCGGGCTGCAGCGGAATATTTCCGAAGCTGAGGCAGGAATATGCTCCTCAGCAATCTGTGGTCCCACTGTATCGTATCGAGGCATTATACGACGTTCTTTTGTTTGAATATAGCAGGTAATCTTGAGGGCTCAGGTTTTCCATCCAATTCGACCGTTGTTGAACGTGCAGATCGCCAGCCTACATTTCAACACGTAGCTTCGTCTCTCTGCCGTTCTGTACTTTTCTGTTGACCGTCAAAACGGAAGCTCCAGGAACAGACCCATTTCAGAAGATCTGAGCGGGATCGAGCTGAGTTTTGGAATGTGTTGGTTGGTACTGAGAGCTCGTCTGGACAA